TACGGGACACGCAGGAATTAACACTCACACATGGTCATCCCAAACCCCGGGGAATGGGATTGAAAAGTCCCACCTTCGAGGATCAATCTTAAATTAGACACTAATCAATATCTCCCACATCATTCAAACAATGCCTTGGGATCATCTCACTCGACCCAAGAGGATAAGGTTAATATTGCAACTGAAATATCAGCACCTGTGACAGTGTGACACTCCCTCAGTACTGACCCTCTGACAGTGCGGCACTCCCTCAGTACTGACCCTCCGACAGTGCGGCACTCCCTCAGTACTGACCCTCTGATAGTGCGGCACTCCCTCAGTACTAACCCTTCGACAGTGCAGCACCACCTCAGTACTGACCCTCTGACAGTGCAGCACTACCTCAGTACTGACCCTCCGACAGTGCGGCACTACCTCAGTACTGACCCTCTGACAGAGCGGCGCTCCCTCAGTACTGACCCTCCGACAGTGCGGCACTCCCTCAGTACTGACCCTCCGACAGTGCGGCACTCCCTCAGTACTGACCCTCCGACTGTGCGGCAATCACTCAGCACTGACTCTCCGACAGCGCAGCACTCCCTCAGCACTGACCCTCCGACAGAGCGGCGCTCCCTCAGTACTGACCCTCTGACAGTGTGGCACTCCCTCAGTACTGACCCTCTGACAGTGCAGTGCTCCCTCAGTACTGACCCTCTGACAGTGTGGCACTCCCTCACTGCTGACCCTCTGACAGTGTGGCACTCCCTCAGTACTGCCTCCACAGTCTCCTTTCAGAGATTTCCCCAGGGTACCCTCCCTCTAAGTGACAGTATTTCTCCTCATCTCAGTCTGACATGTCCTGTCTCTAGAGACTTTGATCCTTGTTCTGAACTCCCTCCTGTCAGGGGGTGACCCTCATCCCTCTGTCCAGTCCTTCCAGCCCTGTCGGAATTCCATCTGCTCCAATCAGTTACCCCTTATTCTTCTAAACTCCAGTCAAACTAATCTCTCCTCAGGACGGTCCTAACATCCTCAGTCTCAACCTCGTGAGCTTGCACAGCACTCCCTTTGTGGTAACCAGAACCTTTTGAGGGAAGGAGACCCAAACTGCATGCAGTCTTGCAGTTCACCTGTGTAGTGATGGGAGAGTTACCTTTATAACCTTTGGAAACAATTTCACACAACTATCCTCTTATCCCAGGGTTTTCACATTGTTGACCAAACAGGAATTAATTTAGTTAGTCTCTTGTTAGTTGCTGGTTTGTTACTGGTTTCTTACTGGTTAGTGACTAGTTGGTGACTGTTTGGTTACTGGTATGTTACTGGTTCAACAGCTTGGTCTCAGAAATGTTTCTACCTACTCGATCAGGTCAGCAAGGCTCTTGTAAATGTCTTCATCATCCACAGCTTGCTCAGTGGGAAATGGCCTGAAAGACAGCACACACAGCATTACCATCACTGAGGGGAACACTGAGACTCTGATGCGTGAGAACGTCACAAAGTACTGTACAATGTGGGGTGCATTTGGGAACAGAATGGAGGAATATGTGTGAATAACCTCAGCCTTCTCGAGACAGCTGGATCTGAGCAGAGACGGTGTCTCACTGTGGAGGAGCAGGGACAGTGAGACTATCCACACTAGGGCAGAGATAGTAAGAACTGCTGATGTTGGAGTGAGAGATAACACAGTGTGGAGCTGGAGGAACACAGCAGGTCAGGCAGCATCAGAAGAGCAGGAAAGTTTACATTCAGAAATCTGAGGAAGGATCCTGACCACATTTGGAATACTGCGTACAGTTCTGGTAGCTGCATTACCAAAAGGATGTGGATGCTTTGGAGAGGGTGCAGAGGAGGTTCACCAGGATGTTGCCTGATATGGAGGGCGCTAGCTATGAAGAGAGGTTGAGTAGATTAGGATTATTTACATTAGAAAGACGGAGGTTGAGGGGGGACCTGATTGACGTCTACAAAATCATGAGAGGTATAGACAGGGTGGATAGCAAGAAGCTTTTTCCCCAGAGTGGGGGACTCAATTACTAGGGGTCACGATTTCAAGGTGAGAGGGGAAAAGTTTAAGGGAGATATGCATGCAAAGTTCTTTACGCAGAGGGTGGTGGGTGCTTTGCCAGCGGAGGTGGTAGAGGCAGGCATGATAGCGTCATTTAAGATGTATCTAGACAGATACATGAATGGGCAGGGAGCAGAGGGATACAGATCCTTGGAAAATAGGCAACAGGTTTAGATAGAGGATCTGGATCGGCGCAGGCTTGGAGGGCCGAAGGGCCTGTTCCTGTGCTGTAGTTTTCTTTGTTCTTTGTTCACACTGGGGCAGCTCTGCAGTTAATGGCTGTTCCACCGACCTCCAGGACTCAGACCCACAGAATCATTAAATTGCTACAGTGTGGAAACAGGCCATTCAGCCCATCGATTCTACACCGATCCTTCGAAGAGCATCCCACCCAGACAACTCCCTACGTTATCCCGTACTCTGCATTACCCATGGCTGCGGGGAGGCAATGGCCTAGTGGTATTATCACTGGACTGCTATTCCAGAGACCCAGGTAATGGTCTGGGAACCTGGGTTTGAATCCCACCACAGCAGATGGTGGAATTTGAATTCAATAAAAATCTGGAATTAAGAGTCTAATGGTGACCGTGAATCCATTGTTTTGGGGGGTGGGGGAAACCATCTGGTTCACTAATGCCCTTTAGGGAAGGAAACTGCCATCCTTACCTGGTCTGGCCTACATGTGACTCCAGACCCAGACAGCAATGTGGCTGACTCCTAATCACCCCCTGGGCAATTAGGGATGGGCTTGCCTGGGACACCCTCATCCTGTAAATGAATAAAAAGAAAAATTCCACCCAGCCTACACATTCCTGAACACTATGGGCAATTTAGCATGTCCAATCCACCCAACCTGCACAGCTTTGGACAATGGGAGGAAACCCACACAGACACAGGGAGAATATGCAAACACCACACAGACAGATGCCTGAGGGTGGATTTGAACCCAGGTCCCTGGTGCTGTGAGGCAGCAATGCTAACCACTGAGCCACTGTGCTATGCAGGCATTGGGACAAGGCTATAGGTTGAAGCAAGTGGATGGGGTGGGGGGCTGGGTGCAGGCATGGGGAATGAGGCCAGAGGATGGAGGTTTTTGGATGAGATGCAGGGGAAATGTGAAGAAGAATTTTTTTTAACACTGTGGGTAATAATGACATGGAACTTGCTGCCCATGAATCACTGACTGCGTACACCAGCAGGAGGCCATTCGGCCCAACATGTCTGTACTGATGTTGGAAATGGCAACAATGAGTCACAACAATAGTGAACTGGGTGGGTATTTGAACAACGTAGATTGGAATGGTTATGGAGGGTCCTCCGTAAACGGCTGGAATGGATCCAATTGACCAAATGGCCTCAATCTGCCTCATAAATGTTTGTGGTTTCAATGCTTAAAGGGTTGTAAAAGTGGGATAGGAATTTGGACAGAGTTGGAAAGGAGAGAATATTCATATTGATGAAGGACTGAGATTCTGGGTGACAGTAACAAACCAGAATGGCACAAACACCAAAGGGAACACAAGACAAAACATCTCTTATGTGGTGAGTGTTAAAATATCAGACTGCTTATCTGACAGGGAAACAACTCCATTCCTATTTAAATAACAGGAAGAATAAAGCCAGGGTTTTAATTTGCTGTTCCCACCACCCTTCCCTAGTAACCAGCTCCACCCTCTCCCTAGTGACAGACTGAGATTACACTTTTTTGTGCAGTGTGTCACCCTGATGTCAGATCCTGATGCTTCACCTTCTGACACTGCACTAATGCCACCTCCCTCCATTTCCAACCATTTTTATTCATTCACAGGAGGAGGGCATTGCTGTCTAGGCAGCATTTATTGCCCATCCCTAATTGCCCATTGGGCAGCTCATAGTCAACCACATTCCTGTGGGTCTGGAGTCACATGTAGGCCAGACAGGGTAAGGATGATAGTTTCCTTCCCTAAAGGATATTAGTGAACCACAATTTCCAACAATCGACAATAGATTCATGGGCATCATTAGATTCTTAGCTCCAGACATTTATTGAATTCAAATTCCACCATCTGCCATGGTGGGATTCAAACCCAGGACCCCAGAACATTATTTGGGTCTCTGGATTAACAGTCCAGCTATAATACCACTAGGCCATTGCCTCCTCTATCAACATCCATCCACCAATGGGAGCATGCTGTCAGCTGCTTGGGTCCTGAGCTCAGGACTTCCCTTCCTAACCCTCTTCAACCCTCTCCCTCCTTTAGACGCTCCTCAAAACAGCCTCAAGCTAATGGCTATGCACCCAGAAACATTGTAGCAGCCCAGTGGCCAATCATGTTGGATGAATCTGTCTGGCACCTTCAACAGATTGATGTTAAAAGTGTTATATAAATGCCAGTTGTTGATGTGCACAGGCTAAATCAGGAGACAGTGTTTCCAAGGGCAGGAGCTCAGTGAGCAGAGGGAGACAGTTTGAAGGGAATCGGGGAAAAACCCCAGAAAGAAAGGTGAAGGGGACTTTGAAAATGAAGATGTGTGTTCTAAATTCCAATGTTGTGGGTCAGTGAGTGCTGGGGCAGGGGATCCAGTCAGGATTTGGATCCTCAAATTTGGGAGGATTTTGCGTTTCCTGGAGCTGAGCAAGCAATGTCCTGAACATTGATTTCAGTGCCATGTTTTAAAATAGATTTCTAAATCCCACTGACAAGAGGAGATTTCTGAACTTACCTTATACCTGTACTCTGTGCTATCACAGTGTGGGAAAGACTTGACAGTGTGTCAATCACCTGTAACAGAGAGATATTGTCATCAGTGAAGGAATCCGTTCTGGCAGACAGAAGGGAGCGAGCGTGTGTGGGCAAGGTGCTGCAATTATTCTGAGTGACATCGGTCCATGTAGGTATGTCCAATTCACTTTAGATCTGCCATAGGGACTATATTAGAATCCTTTATGAAGGAGGTTATAACAGGGAACTTGGAAAATCACAATGTGATCAGGAAGAGTCATCATGGCTTTAGGAAGCAAAAACTGTATCTCATTTATTAAGAACATAGGAACAGGAGTAGGCCATTCAACCCATCAAGCCTGGCCCAACATTCAATGTGATCAACGTTGATCAAATACTTCAACGCCTTATCCCCTCCACATCCCCATATCCTGTACATCACTGGTAATCAGAAATCTATCAATTTCAATCTTAAACATGTGCAAAGACGGAGCTTCTATAGCCCTCTGTGGTGGAGAATTCCAAAGATTCAAAACCTCTGCATAAAATCATTTTTCCTCATCTTGGTCCTAAGTAGCTTCCCCCTTATTTTTAAATTGTGTCCCCCGGTTTCTAGACTCTCCAGATGATGCAGGTGAGAAAGTATTTTTATTTGCAGACTTTGTATATTTCTGAGATTAACTGCCCTTTCTCTGATCTGTGGTAAACTGGAAGTTAAAAATCTAAAGGTTTATTTTAGGCAACGAAAAGGCACCAGGCCTAAAGCAACATCTCCAAAAGTTACATAACTTTGTGTAACAGTATAGTTTGCATTGGTTTGTGTTAGAGTTGTGTAATCAATCACAAAATACCACACTTACACTTTCCATTTTTGTGTTATGAGAAAAGTTCACTCTCTGCAACCTAGTACAATCCAAGTGGGCATTTCCCCAGATCATATTCCAAAGACATGTATGCAGTCATTACAGAAACCTGTGTGTAATATTTAATCCTGAGATGAACTTCTCATCTCACTTCTACCATCAATAACATCAGCCAATTCAATCTCTATTGGCTCCCACTGACATGATCTCTCAGAGATTTTGCCTCCAGCCGCCTATGGCCACTTGGCTTTGGAATTCACTCCATAAACATCTCTGCCTTTCCTCCTGGCTGGAGTGATACCTGACACATAGGAAATACCAGGCAGGAAAACCCAACAGTGCTTCATCGGAGGCTGCACTGATAATGTTACCCAGCAAGGTAATAAAACATCTGCGGAACAACAAACCAGCTTGGTGAGACAACCTACCACAACATAGGACAATGGTCGTGGTTGTGGGAGGTCAATCATCTCAGCTCCAGGACATCTCTGCAGGAGTTCCTCAGGGTAGTGTCCTAGGCCCGACCATCTTCAGCTGCTTCATCAACGACCTTCTCTCCATCATAAGGTCAGAAGTGAGGACGTTCAGCATCATTCATGACTCCTCAGGTACTGAAGCAGTCCATACCCATATGCAACAAGATCTGGATTACATACCAGCTTGGACTAAAATGTGGCAAATAAAATTTGTGCCAGACAAGTGCCGTAAAAAAACCTAACCATTGCCCCTTGACACGCAATGTGCTGTCAATACTGAAGCCCCTGTTATCAACATCTTGAGGTTTACCATTGACCAGAAACTCACTGGACTAGCTAAATGAGCACAGTGGCTACAAGAGCAGGCGAGAAGCTGGGAATACTGCGGCAAGTAACTCACCTCCTGACTCCTCAAAGCCTGTCCACCATCTACAAGTCACAAGTCAGGAGTGTGATGGAATATTCCCCACTTGCCTGGATGAGTGCAGCTCCAACAACACTCAAGAAGCTTGACACAAAAACAAAAGTGGAAAGGTGGTTTGAGGAATGGCAGCATTTTAGAATTCAACAAAAGAGGACAAAAGTTTTCTCATGAGTGGCAAAATCGAGCATCAGATTAACATAACAGCAAATGTAGAAACTGACAGTAAAAGATTCTGTAAATATCTGAAAAGAGAAAAGGTCAGTAAAGACATGGGTAGGGCGCTGGGAGTCAGGAACCAGGGAATTTTAATGGGGAGCAACAAAATGGCAAAGAATTGAAGCCAGGCTTTGGATCAGTAACAACAGAACAGAATTATCAGGGAGCCGAAGGTTAACTCAGAGGGAGGAATTGAAGGGAATTAGTTTTGTAAGAAAATGGTGCTGCAGAAATTAATGGGGTTAAAAACTGACAAATCCCAAGAGTCTGATAATCTACATCCCAGAGTACCAACAAAAGTGGTCCTAGAAAGATAGCTCGTTTTTGGTGGTCATCTCCCAAAATTTTATAAACTGGAATAGTTCCCACAGATTGGAGGGTGGCAAACATAACCACACTTTTAAAAAAGGAGGGAGAGAAAACACAGAGAATTACAGACCAGTTAGCCTCACATCAGTAGCAGGGAAATTGCTAGAGTCTGAATAAAAGACATGAAAGCAGAACATTTGGATAGCAATACGGGATTGGATAAAGCCAGCGTAGATTTGTAAAACATAGACAACAGGAGCAAGAGTAGACCATTCAGCCCCTCAACCTGTTCCATCACGAAAAATGATCATGGCTGATCATAAACTCAGTGCCCTGATCCTGCTTTCTCCCCACACCCTTTAATCGCTTTAGCCCTAAGAACTATAACTAACTCATTCTTGAAAACATTTAAGACTTTGGCCTCAGCTGCTTTCGGTAGGAGTGAATTCCACAGGCTTAGTGCTCTCCGGGTGAAGACATTTCCCTTCAACCCAGTTGTAAATGGCCTGCCCCTATCCTTAGGCTATGACCCCCTGGTTCTGGACTCCCTTGTCATCGAGAACATTGTTTCTGTGTTTACCCTGTAGTTCTGTTCGTATTATACAGGTTTCCATGAGAGCACTGACTCATTCTCCTCAGGGGATAGGCAAATCCAACTGAACAAATTGACCAGAGATTGTTTAGGATATAACTTGTAGAATAGATAAAGGAAAACCAATCGATGTAGTGTATTTGGAATTCTGGAAGGCTTTTAAATAAGATCACTGAGAAGGGCTTAGTGAACAAAATGATAGCACATGCGATGGGAGTAACATGTTAGCACAGATCGAGAACTAATTGACAGACAGGAAACAGATAATGTTCCTATCCAACCTCTCCTGTCAGGCAGAAGCTACAGAAGCTTGAACAGGCGCTAACAGCTTCTCCCCTGCTGTTATCAGACTGCTGAGTGGACCTCTCATTTTCAAATAATGTTGATCTTGCTTTGTGAACCGGGGAGGACAATAAATGTTGGGTCCAGCCAGCGACGCCCACATCCAAACAGTAAATAAATAAATCCTTAGCTCCTTTAAGATTCCAGCGAACATTTACAGCTCAAAACGCAGGTGCGATCTTCACATTATTTCCTGTTATGGAGTACTGCCGACTGTGTTGAAATAACCCTGTATGCATCACTCTATCTAAGCACCCTGTGTATATCCTTGTTGCTATAATCTGCCTGTACCTTTTTATTCATTCACGGGATCAGGGGGTCACAGGCCAGGCCAGCATTTATTGCCCATCCCTAATTGCCCAGAGGGCAGTTAACTGTCAACCACATTGTTGTGGGTCTGGAGTCACATGTAGCCCAGACAAGGTAAGGATGGCAGTTTCCTTCCCTAAAGGGCATTAATAAACCAGATGGCTTTTCCCCAACAATAGGCAATGGATTCACGGTCATCATTAGATTCTTAATTCCAGATTTTTACTGAATTCAAGTTCCTCATTCAAGTTCTTGCCATGGCAGGATTCAAGCCTGGGTCTCCGGAACATTATCTGGATCTCTGGATTAACAGTCCAGTGATAATACCACTAGGCTATCGCCTCCCCAAAAGCTCGCACAACAGAGCTTCGCACTGTACTTATCAAATCAAATCAAATCAAAAGGTGGCAGGCAGAGACTAGTCGGTACTGCAGGAATCAATGCTAGGACCCTGGGTCAGTCACTATACATATATATATATACACATATACACACACACACATATATATATATATATATATATATCAATGCTACGACACTGGGTCAGTCACTATATCTATATATATATATCAATGCTAGGACCCTGGGTCAGTCACTATATATATATACATCAATGCTAGGACCCTGGGTCAGTCTATATATATATATATAGATATCAATGCTGAAAGATTCGACAAACTTTTACTTAGAAAGGCACTGACTCGTCAGGGATACTCAGTATGGCTTTGTTAAAGGAAGGTAATGCCTTACAAATTGCTTTACTCAGAGGGTACTATACCATTGGAGTTCTCTACCAGAGAAGGCTATGGAGGCCAAGTCATGCAAAATATTGAAGAAAGACATTGATCAATTTCTTAGATTTTAGAGACATCAAGGGAGAAGGCAGGAATATGGCATTGAGATGGAGGATCAGCCATGATCAAACTGAATAGCAGAGCAGGCTCAAAGGGCTGAATGGCCTAATCCTGTTTCTAGTTTCTAGTTTCTAGTTTCTATGTTTGACACCATCCAAGACAAAGCAGCCCGTTTGATTGGTATTACATTCACAAGCATTCACTCCCTCCACCATCGACGCTCAGTAGCTGCAGTGTGTACTATCTACATGATGCACTGCAGAAATCCACCAAAAATCCTCAGACAGCACCTTCCACACCCTCGACCACTTCCATCTAGAAGGACAAGGGCAGCAGATACATGGGAACACCAGCTCCTACAAGTTCCCCGAAAAGTCACCACCATCCTGACTTAGAAATAAAATGTTGACCCTGCAGTGTCATTGGGTCAATATCCTGGAATTCCCGCCCTAACTGCATTGTGATTTAGCTACAAAAGGGTCAGGAAGGCAGCTAACCATTACCTTCTCAAAGGGAACCGGGGAGGACAATAAATGCTGGGTCCAGCCAGCGACGCCCATATCCAAACAGTAAATAAATAAATCCTTAGCTCCTTTAAGATTCCGGCGAATATTTACAGCTCAAAACACAGCTGCGATCTTCACATTATTTCCTGTTGTGGAGTACTGCCAATTG